TAAATCATGTCTTAAATGTTGAGGGAAGCTCAGTGTTTATAAATCATGTCTTAAATGTTGAGGGAAGCTCAGTGTTTATAAATCATGTCTTAAATATTGAGAAAGTTCAGTGTTTATGAATCCCAGACTACAGGTTGAGGGAAGCTCGATGTTTGGAAACCCTGAGGTATAGATTTCTTCAATCTATACCTCAGGGTAAACACTGTGTTTTCTCAACCTTTAACACTGGATTTATAAACTCAATGTTTAAAGATCCAGTGTTAAAGGTTGAGAAAACACAGTGTTTAAAATTGCTGACAAAAAGCTGGAGAGACTAAGTGTTTCTAAATCCTGAATTAAAGATTGAGGAAAATCAGTGTTTATAAATCCCAGATGAAAGGTTGAGGGAAGCTCAGTGTTTATAAATCCCAGATGAAAGGTTGAGGGAAGCTCAGTGTTTGGAAACCCTGAGTTATAGATTGAACAAATCTGTGTTTATAAATCCTGTGTTAAAGGTTGAGAAACTCAGTGTTTAGCAATCATTGATTAAAAGCTGGACAGACTAAATGTTTCTAAATCCTGGCTCATCATCTGAATTATATGTTCCTCACAGATGCGGACCGAGGCAAAGTTGAACTCACCACAACCCGGTGTTCTCCTGTCAGATCAGGAGAATCACACAGCAGCTGGTTCTCAGAGACGGTCAGCAGACAAGGAGAATCTCCAATCAGAACCGTGTAGTTCAGGCGGTTGTTTCCAGGAGCCGGAGGGATCAGGTTTTTACCCTGGAGTACAGAACACACACCTGTTAGGCCAGCTCAGGTATTAAACATCCTACCTGCATCACATTGCATCACTTCCTGTGAAAGTCCCACCTTCAGGATGATGGGAGAGCCCGGCTTCACCTCAAGGATCCCAGACGTTCCGAGCGGATCGAAGGTGGGGTTCGGGTAGTGGGTGAAAGGGGTGGAGTTGAGAACAAGCAGAGAAGAAACCTGGACAGGTGGAAAATATCACATTTCATTTCACTATTCATAGAAAGATTAACAACCCCCTGCTTCTCCTGGGCGGGCATATTCTTTTACTCTGATTTCACCCTTTCACTGAATTATGGCGCTTTTCTTTAGATCTTAATGTCCACAAGATGAAAATGACAGAAGAATATTTTATTGCAAAGATTGACGTTTAAAAAAGGAATTTTATGGAACCAGCCGATGATTCATCAAGGAAACCAAGGAAATTTTGAATGGCTACAAATGTAGATGTAGTTTTTTTTTTAGAGTGAACATAAAAATAGTGAATTACATTGGAAAAAATTAAAATCTAGAAAAGTCATTTTTTCTTAAAATATGTGCATTTGTTCTGGGATTAGGGAGAAAAAAAGAGACATTTTGCCAATGGAACAAGACAATTTACGTTTGAAATTTCTTATTTCAAGTGCAAATGATCTAATTATCTTATTTTAAGAGTAAAAATACTCATTCCATTGGCAAACTACCTCATTTACCTGCTCAAATTAAGGGTAAATGCACTTAATTTAAGACATTTTTACTCATTTCTAGATCGATTTTCCAGTGTAGCGACTTATTTTGCACATTTTTCTCATGGTTGTAGCTTCTGGGATTACTTCTGAGAAGGAACCGAAATACGCAGCTGGTGACTGATTCTTGTCTCCTTGGTGCTTAAAGTTGACCCAGTTCTTGGTTCCTGTCTGCTGTTTATAATCAGAGCCCGGGGTCTCCGTGGTCCTGGTCCAGCATTTAAGTGTTCGTTTCTTTCAGCCCTTTTCTTCTGCCTTCACCCCTCAGCGCTCCGCTGTGGCTGAAGCTCATCACTTCTAGATGTTTGCTCTTGATCCCATTTCATTAAGGCAGTTAGCTTTCTCTTCTGCAGACGCCCTAAACCACCAGAAGGACGATCCATCAGAGAAGATAACTTGTTTCCAGGTTAACGTTGCAAATCCTTGTTCTTTCTGCACAGGATCGGGTTTGTTGGAGTTCTTATGATTTCTGTTGTTTTTATCATTTTATTCAATTAGTACAAATGAAGTATAAATACTTCGTTACTGTACTCAAG